CTCTCCTCTATCAACATGCGTCCCTCTGAAATGAAGCCCACAGAAGCATGACGCTGCTTTCTGTTTGTGTCTCTGTATCCTCAGAGTCCAGAGGTCAGGTCACAGTGACTCAGCCTGGAGCAGTGAGCTCTGCTCTGGGAGGCTCTGTCACCATCAGCTGTAAGACCAGTCAGAGGGTCAAAGATGGAGATGAACAATACTGGTACCAACAGAAAGATGGACAACCTCCTAAACAGCTCACCAGCTATGGTAATCGCAAAGTGTCAGGAATCCCAGATCGATTTTCATTCAGCGGATCAAACACTGACTTCACTCTGAGCATCAGTGGAGTTCAGGCTGAAGATGCTGCAGTTTATCACTGCAAAGGTCGATTCAACATCAACAGTCAATATTCGTTCACACAGTGAAAAAGCGTCGTACAAAAACCTCCTCAGTCAGACTGAACAGAAACTGAGTTGACTCACTTCACTGAACACACACACACACACACACACACACACACACACACATTTTTGTATACGTATTTTCTACGTCTGTCATCTGAACCATCACAACTACACAACAAAACCCAACTCTAACACTATCACAACCTTAACTGTGTTCTAACCTGAACCCACAAAGCCAAGTGTTGATGAAAACTTAACAGCTACAAGACTGAAGCAATGAAATGTTGAGAATACACAAGTCAGTGAAATAAATAAAAACAAGACATTTAAAAGAAAACCAATGATGAAGACTCACATTAAGATTTGTCTGCAGGTTTCTTCTACAGTGGAGTCCTTCATATCCTGAGACAGACTGTTCCAGAGACTAAACACTGATTCTTCATGTGTTCAGTTGAAGTCTTTGGGATGATGAGGAGACAGCTGCAGAGGATCTGAGGGATCTGCTGGCTACACATCTGTAAAGCTTCTCTCAGAGATACTGTCGGCTGCTGTCAGCATATTCACTGAGTTACAGACTAATAAGAGAATCTGAAATCCATGTTCCTTGAAAAAACATTCAAATACAATAATAACTACTACATTCCTTCGTGATTTGCTGGGAAATAAAGAAAAGTCTAAGTGGAACAGTAAATGTGAAAATGTTTGGTCATGACCTTTGACCTCATCTGCACATTGGATCCTAACAACCTCCACGATATCCTGTTTAACTAAAATACAAAGACAGAAATATCAATAATATATATACTTATTTTTCCTAAAGAAAACCTCGACACCAACCAGAATCCTCAAAAGTTCAAATAGAACCTGACAACCTTCATATCTAGACATCTACACACTGTATATAAAACTGTATATAAACATCCATAACAAGTGCACCTTCTCTCTGACATGTGACCAGTAAAGAGATGAGATTTGTTCATTCTACTGGAAACAGCAGCTGAAATAACAAACTCTCCACAACATTGGTTCAGTAGCTGTTGTGTTCAGTCGTATCACAGGATCACTTGATGAAATCAGACAGGTCGTCACTGAAGAAGATCTCACTTGAGCATTTTTGAAACTTCTTTTCCATCTTGGCTTCAAATATTACAAAAAACCCCATTGATATTAATATCAGAAAAAAGAAACCAACTGTCCACAAACCACAGGTTACTACCAGACCAATGTCCAATATCCTCTACATGTACAGTCATGAACAAAGTTTACATACACTTGAAACGACCACATAGATGATGACAGTCGGGAATTTCCAATGACTCCAATAACTCTGAACTTTAGTTTTTATGATGGAATCATTGAAATGTGTCTTTGTCATAAAAATCTTTTATATATTTTTGTTATTTTTTAGGTCTGTTATAGGTCATGTGGAAATTTGGCAAAATCTGAGGGGTCAAAAATATAAATACAGGAACTTGATTGATCATTTTTTGTGATATAAACAGCTGTGTAAATCAGATGTTGTTAGTGGCATGGCCTCTAACTTCTCACAAGTGATTTCAATTGACTACAGCTGCTGACTCCTCTGAGATTATTTAATAAAAACCCATTTATTACACTCATTCGACTCAACCACAAACACGACAGTGAGGAATTTGAGGAGCTCAGCAAAGATCAGGAAAAAGAAATGACTGAGTTAAACAAGACAAAAAAGTCAGTTGGAGCTATTTCAAAGCAGTTACAGATACCAAAACAATCTGCGTACAAACACTGATTGTTAAGGAAGAAGCACACGGTAAAGTTGTGTCACTGTGAGGATCAGGAAGAAAACATAAACTATCACCTGATGCTGAGAGATAATTGGTCAGGATGGTCAAAGATCAACCAAGAATCACCAAAATACAGGTCTGCAATGAATTAGAAGCTGCTGGAACATTGGTGTTAGTGTCTACAGTGTTTTACATCAACATGAGCTGAGAGGCTGCCATGAAGAAGGAAGTTCTTCTACTAGAAGCAGCACATTAAAGCTTGACTGAAGATTGCTGCTGATCACATGGAGAAAGAAAAGGTCTTCTGGAGGAAAGTTCTGGTCAGATGAAATAAAGATGCAGTTATTTAGTCACAATGACAAGAAATATGTTTGGAGGAGAGAATGTGAGTCCTTTAACCTCAAGAACACCAAACCTACTGTCAAGTATGGTGGTGGCATTTTTATGTTCTGGGCCCTTTTGGTACCAGTGAAACTGGTGTTATTACACCAAATTATACCATGGTCAGCGAGAATGCTATGGCGAACTGCCGTGCATTATTTGCATAAAATAGTCCCAAAAACGTAAGCATTTTTAGCAAATTCTGTTAATTAAATAAACATTTTGTGTGTTTGCTCGCTGTGTGGGACCATGGTATGAGCAGATTAAAGAACTTGGAGCTGTACATTTTACTGTTTGAATGCACTTAGTGGAGTAACACCACTCTGCTTCATATCGTGGTGTTTCACACTCCGCTGCGTGCATTTAAACCGTATAATGCACAGCTCCTTGTTGTTTAATCCTTACTTAAATGTAATGATGAAGGACATAGATTATCTTCAGATTCTTCATGAAAACCCAAATGCTTAAGCCAGAAGGTTGAATCTTAATGAAGTTGTGTGTTCCAAGTCAATGACTCAAAACACATCATAAATGGGAAAAGAAGTGGTTCAATTAGGCCAGAATGAAGTGTTTAGACTCATCTCCCTAAAGTCCTGACTTAAACCCATCAAGAACCTGTGAGCTGTGTTGAAGGAACAAGTCCGTGGCAGAAAGTCAACAAATTTAGTTGAACTGCACCAATTCTGTCAAGACAATGACCAATGATACAACCAGAAGCTTGTAGACGGAAAGTTAAAACAAGTATTTGAGGTAAAGACAACCAGATAATGTTTTAACAAATACTAGCATCACTGCATGTATATTTATGACCCAGCAGATTCTGTAGAGTTTACAGAAGACCTATCATAAATGTATAAAAGAACTAAAATGCAGGATTGTTTTTCTGTAACAAAGACTTGTGTGTTTCAATGATTCCATCATAGAAAATTCAGAGTTCTAAGAGTCATTGTAAACTCGAGACTGCCGTGATATACATGGTCTTTACACGTGTATGTAATATAATGTGTGAGTGATGAGGAGGAAACCTGGTGATGTGTTGAGGACGGCTGCAGCTGACTGACTCTGAGTGTTTGCATATGTGTCCTGCCTCTGTGCTCCCAGACGTTAAGAGGCCAGTGTTGATCAGTGTGTGTCCAGACCTTTCACAGACTCGGACACGCCGGCAGCACAATGATCATGTCCCTGACTCTACTGCTGGCCACCCTGGGGCTCCTTGTTCAGGGTGAGACTCTCTGCTGAAAACTTGGCTTCAGGATGCAGCAGCTTCACCACAATCATCTTCTGCTGTGATGGAGAAACACTGAAACAAGCAGCGCTGACCTTCTTCCATCTGTTGTCCATGTTGTAGAAATGATCCTCTTGTGTTTGGATGCTGATCATCTTTGTCCAAGCTGGATTTGTCTCAGTAACCCTTCTCCTCTTTTTCATGTTTTCAGGTTCATCAGCAGAAATCAGTGTGACTCAGTCTGATGGATCTCAGTCTGTTGTTCCAGGACAAACTGTCTCCATCACATGTAGAACCAGTGAAAGTGTTGGTGGCAACCTGCACTGGTACCTTCAGAAACCTGGAGAAGCTCCTAAATTCCTGATTTATTATGTTTCAACCCGTCAGTCTGGAGTTTCTGATCGTTTCAGTGGAAGTGGATCTGGAACTCATTATACTCTGACCATCAGTAGAGTTCAGACTGAAGATTCAGGAGTTTATTACTGTCAGCAGGGCTACAGCCCGTTCACACAGTGATACAACGTCGTACAAAAACCTCCCTCAGCTAAAGAGGAACTGATCTGAATCAACAGCTGCTCAGAAACACAAACACTCAGACTAATTCTCTCTTTACAATAGAACACAATTCAAACACTTTCCACATTATTTCTCATGTTTTACATTTTATACCATCAAATCATGTTTGTCAAATACCAGAACCAAACCCTGACCCTCATTATTGAACTTCTTCATACTGTCAATAATACTGTAATCCTACAACACATGATCAACAAAACAGCAAATTTCTGTACAATTATTCTACTGAAAAATCTAAAAGCTTTATTTTCTCAAAATGAGAGAATAATATATATATCTATTTTTAGCTTTAGTGAATACATATTTTCAGCATGTTTTAGTTCAAAAAATGTTCTTAGCAAACCCTGAAATGAAACACAACTCAGCACACAGCTACATGTAGAACTTTTTTCATATTTATGTAATCACCTAAATAAAAATGATACAAAGCTAAAGTTTTCTTTAGATTAAATAATCTACCTGCAAACATAATGCAGCAAAATGTGACTGAAGCTCCACATTGATAATGTACATGGACCCAGTTGATTTAATGAGGACATGATTATTATTTTTAAAACTTTATCAACATTACTACAAACGAATAAAATTAAGAGTTAATTGTATGAAGTGATATTCTCTCATCTGGTTTAAAAGACTCCATTAGTTTCATGTTTCCCAAGAACATTTCTAATTATTTAGACCAAGATCTGCATCAAGGTTGAATCAAAAGAGATTAATATAATAATTCATGATAAAATGTATGTTTTTTCTGGTTTGTGTTCACATAAATAATTATAATACTATAAGGTGTCAATGAGAAACAACACAAGTCAACAGACGTGTTTTCTTGATTCATTTTTATTGTTTTAAAATGTTTGAACCATCAGAGTAATACTGAGAGTAGAAAGAGAGAAAGAAAAAGAGGAGCAAATGTGAGACAGTCAATCAGAAAAAACTGGGATGACCTTCGACCTCAGCCTCACACCGGATCAGAAACTTCTTAACTGTGTCCAGTTTAAGAAAAATGTAAATATCAGCATCAGAAACTTTTATTATTAAAGATGGAATAACACAAAACAATCTGCACATCTCTCAGTACCATGGCAAGTTATTGTTTATGTATTAACTTAGATTTTGCTAACAAGTGCATTTGTAAATAGAAAGTGATGTGAATGATATGATTATACAGACACAACAATCTAAAAGACAAAAGAGACAATAAGCTCATAGTTGACTCTGGAAACAGCACTCAGAGACATTTCTTTGATCTTCCTCAACAGATTATATCACACAGTTTTCAATTAAATGTTAACATTTTAATTTCTCTGTGGCTCAATGAGACTTTTTGTTCCCATGTTCATCATAAAATTACAAAAGGTTCCTGAAGGATAAAAAACCACTCCATCTGTTGAAGAAGGTTAT